TTAAAATTAAAAAAAATAAACTACTCTAAAATGCAAGTAAACATTTAGACACAAAAGAAGAGTAAAATGTAGGAGAAACCAGTCAATTGTTTATTGCCAAACTTTCTATATATGGCTGAACCACTCCACAAATTATATGAAAATAATGATCACAACAATAATTTATAATTTTATGTTTCTGTATATGCTAAAATTTTGTAATGTTAGATTGTAGCATCAGCATTTTTACCATATTGAGAATTCCAGAGAGCTAAAATCGAGTCCTTCATGTTTATTTGACCATGATTTCATGATTTTTCTGAATTTATTCATTGTATATTCTAAAAGGTAAAATGAATCATTTAAAAGAATTTTTAAGATATTAAAATGAATTCTTTTTTCTAACTTCATTTATTCATTTATAATTGTATAATTATGTACGTAAAATGGAGCTGGCTCCTTAATATCTTAAGGACAAATACTTCTTTTTGCATATTCCATTTTTGAATAAACAAAAAGTTTTATCTTCATTAATAAAGTATATAATAACTTAAAGACTATTTTTAAAGTCAGGATATTACTATTTTCTAAGCAGATTATTATAGAGTAATACTTTATTCACATAAATGACATCTGCACTCTATATGTAGGCCATTGTTTGGAATTATCATAAATGCATATAAGTAATGAACTTTATGAGTAAAATATCTGTATATCAACCTGGACAGTCTATGATACATAATATATAAAAATATTAATCAATATAACCTTTGCATTTTAAATCTCTGTCTTAAAGAAAAGACTTAAGTTTACAATTTTTTATTTGCAACATTTCGGTTAACGTCTTGAATTTATCCTTTATTTAAAACTGGAGGGAAAAAAATCACAAAAATTGTGATTAAAATCTATCAAGGTCGTTTTTACATACTATTGCAAAACATAACTGTACTCTGTTTAATGTTATGTATTTAAATGCTTCCACTATCTTTATATTCACAACTTTTTAATAATTACTTGAAGATGGTAACTAAACCATTCTTAGTCTAAAAAGAATGTTTCCCACATGTCTTAATAGGGCTTGTCAATCACTGGACTTAATTAGTAAATTAAATAAAATTAGGAAACTTTGGTACTATAATTTCCTTTTTAAAAATTTCCACTTGTGTACATTGGCTTTCTACCTGTTTCACAGTATAGAGAGAATGAAATTATCTCCTACCTTCTAAACTAGCTTGGCAGGCTTCCATGTTGTGTCTACCCTATGGCTGGGCTCTTATTACGTCAGACGTTAAAGAGTTCGGCTTTCTCCACCTTAAATGATTTTCCATGATTTCCACTTCCTCTACTCAAATTTACAGTCACGCTTCTTATAACCATTAAAAAAGAGAAGTAAGCCTTGTCCTTGTGTATGACTCTTTTAAACCATTTATTAGTCTCTTTGGCAAAGCTGCATGTAATGACACTTGTGCGTTTTTTATCATTTTTTTCACAGCATTTCAAACATCATTAGTGTACTTCAGGACATAATGCCTTATTCTAACTTTCAAAGCCATTACTTGTGTATTTCTCTGTAAGGGTTGGTTCTGATGCTAAGATCCTGCTCACCAATAGGCTGTTGATCCATCAATAAAGCTACCATTGACCAATGACTCAGGATGGGGCATGACACTTAGAGTTGCAGGGAAGGACGAAGGGAGAATGGAGAGAGCTGGGGAAGAAGGAGGCAATTGCTACAGGAGATAAAGCTAAGCACCAGCCATGATGGTTTTCGGTTGGAGAGGCCAATGGCCACTTTGTCCGATTATGCCTTTGGTGTCAGGAGAGGGTTAACAGTAACCAGTGTTGTTATTTTATCCGTGGATCCAAGGAAACCTGGGTAGGGGCTGGTCCATTTCCCAAGCTTAAGGCGTGGTAGCAAAAACTACATGCTACATTACTCTAGTAACTCTTCAAACCTTAATATTATATAGTGGTGGTGAGTGGAAACTCCATGTTTCCTTCTTCCTGTATTGCAGGTCTGGGTACTTAGTTCTTGGATTCTTTTTTCTACAGTTAAGAAGAATCCACTAAACACCACTCCTGAGTCTGTCATACTTCTAGAGCTGAGAAAATCTCAAGAAATATCAAAACAGAAACTCTGTAAGGAATTTAAGTATTATTATTGAAAGGGTAAATCTCTACTAAGCCTCAAAATCTATTCACCTGTTAATTCTCACAGCCTCATAATATAAATTTCCAAGCCGTGTTTTTTCTTATTTTCAGCATGAATATCTAAATATTAATTTTACATTAAGTGTTTTATGGATATTAAACTATATGCCCATCATTCTCTAAACAAGGTGACACAAGGAAGGAGTGTACAGTATCAACTTCAGCTATACTGTAGGAGGAAACTCATGAAACCTTTCAACTAGTGTGGATTTGGTACACTAGATGACTGTTAGTTTCTTTGGAATCAACTCTCTGAATTAACTTGGCAATACATGTTGTCTCATCACATATACTTAATCATGTGAATACAAAGCATGTAATAACTACACGTGTTATATGCTACTATCTTTTTTCTAAGGCCCTTTAAGATTCTGAGAGCTAATTACATGGATTTTATAAACCATCAAGACATAGATCCACCCCTATGATTCTCCTGAGGCAAACATTTCTAAATTCTCTACAGATGCACTCAGTATTTTTTCTAGTTGCTAAGGAAACAAGCACTTATGTCAAAAATTTCTCCTATGTAATACACATACTTGGAATTTAATTACTTCAAATATCTTCAGAAACTTTCTCCTAAGGGAAACATTTCATCATCCAATTTCACACTCCTATAAAATATATGCCATTTATTTGCTATTTTTAGGCTACTTATTTACCACTTATTTATAGATCACTGAGACAAGAACAATAAATACAAAGGCTAAATTTTATTTTTCACAGATTTTATCATTACTTAAAGTTTACATTGTATTTTACAAGATATTATTTTTCACAGGTAAAATAATTAATTATAGGATACAGTATAAGAATGTTATGCATTTTACAGTATAGTGCGATAAAAATTCTGTTTCCATCATCTTAATTATTAGTACTTTTATTAAGAAAGTTCAATATATGAAAAATGTGAGTTTTCATCTTTCTTTGGTGATGTTGTATGATAACAGAAATTTATGTCATTGTACCTATTAAATATCATAATTATTATTTTACATAAATTTTCATTATTGTTAATAGAACACTAAAATTTTTGTTTGAAATTACCCTAAATGGCTGGATAAAGTCAAGCATAATTTAGTTTGCCTGTATGAAACAATATAAGAATTCAAGATGTTGGATATACTTTAGAATTCTTTGTCAGCTACATTGATTTAGTTTGAGATCCTATTTAATTCATATTTAGGAAACATGTATGGAAAATAATTACTATAAGCATAATATAATTGTATATGAGGTTATTGATATTTCAAATTTACCAGAACAAATAAATTGATAGATGGTACTATATCCAACCACTTTTATATAGGAAAATCAATCACTTTCCAGGGGGAAGATTTAAGCATATGTATGTCAAGTAGACTTGAGATGAATCAATCATTTTACTTCTTAAACGCAAACCTGTAAAATGAGCACGTCTTCCTTGTCCTGCTCCTAAGAATATAGTGTGTTATCACAGAAATACTTTCAAATTAAAAACTAATAATATTAGGAGCTACCCATAATATTTCTGGAGGACCCTATCTTAGAAATTTCAAACATATACAGTTTAAAATAATTTTGAATACATATTAACAATACTTGGTTTTAAGTTCAATTGGTTTTAAACCTTATGATCTGCAAATGTAGTTTAATAAAAGATTAATGATATCAAACTTCATTCAAATTTCAAAGACTAGCATATTAAAGATAATGTCACATTCATGTATTCTTGAATTATAAGTTATATCATATAACCAGAATGAGGTTTTATATTTTTTCTTACTTGAAAAATGTTATTTCTTAATAATGACATATAGTACAAGTGAAATGAGTCAGTTTTTTATGAGTGAATATTTTGTTCCTATCACATATATGTGATGAAATATATTTTAAAAATATATTTTACAAACATATTCATAAACCAAATAATAATACTCATTGTGTGGAAACATTTTAATTTGCAACTAACTGACAGAATTGAATATCATTTTGATTTGGCATATGCCCTGTCTTCCGTGTATTCATAGAATGATTCTGAGTATAATTTTAATAACATGGTATTTTATTAGCATATTAATGTGCAATTGAATCAGGTTTATACCTGCCACAATGATCAATGAGTGGGTTATATTTTTAAACAAGCTAAAAGTTCCCTGATATAGTTGACCCTGCTTATAACCCCAGCTCTGGTTCTTAATCACACTGCATTTAAAGTTGTTTCTGCCTCAGTGATTTTGTTTCCAAAATCAACTTCCTTGGTCAGGCATGGCTGAGCTTGTCTTCAGCCGTGGACAAACAAACCAGAGTTGGAAACAAGCTCCCAGGTGGTTGGCAGAGAACTTGTATTTGCAAATATTTCTTTTCATCTCACCAAATGTTTTCAGGTGGATTTCCATTTCTCCTCCTCCCCTCCAGTTCTCTCCCTCTATTCATCATCCCCAATTCAATCAGACTGCTACAGATATCAAATCATTTCTTTTCCAAACCCAGTATCTCGTACTAACAGGAATTGTGAGACTCCATTATGACATGCAATGGTAACCATGATTAGAACCTAATACTAACATTTCAGTTTATCTATTTAATTTTTATTATTTGTAAAATATACCAGAGAAGTTAAAAAAGATGATATAACTCTAACTTTAAGAAAGGATAACATCCAGCCAATACCCAGTTCTGAAGATACCTGTATTCCCCCTGAACACCCACACTCCAGTGTCATTCCCTTCCCCACATCCTGCCTTTCTGTGTTTATAACCCCTGTGTGAATGAATTATGATTTGAGAAAAAATAAATTATAAAAAAAGAAAGGATAACATCTGGCTTACCTTTGATAATGTTGGGCTTTGGGGGCATGCTGAACTCATATACAGTAGGCTCAGAATACCCAAGTCTGTTGGCAGCTGTGATTTGCACTTCATAGCCCATTGTCCACTGTAGATGCTCCAAGATGATGTGGTCTTTATTTCCCTGCACCTTCTTCTCTAGCCACTGATCTTCCTTGTCTTTCTGTGGAAATAGAGAAAGGGGGTTTAGTTAAATAGTGGCACAAATAGGTTTTACTTTAAATATAATTCATTGGAATAATGTAAATAGTTTTTATTATCTCAGTTTTCTAAAAATATTTATGTATATTTCTAATGTAGTTAATTCAGTGTCACTTCTAATATTTGTCTATATAAACATTAATATACAAGCCAAGAACTGATGGTATTGCAAATTAATCATGGGATAATATAATTCAACCTATTTAATTTTACTCTTTATATTCAGACACAAACTTGGTTTACAGTCATTTTTGAATAGTAGTCAATAAATGGATAATTGAATAATTGCCAGAGACTATTATTAACATTTGTTGAAGAGAACTATCAATAAAGTAAATATAGGAAAGCATATATAGATGTATACTGTCAGTAGTATCTTACATGACTCTAAGGAAATAACACATAAGGAAAATATAGAAAACACATTTTCAATAACACTATAAAATACAATGTTTTTCCATGAACACTGAAAGACAAAATAGGTCATTTTTGTCCATTTTCTTCTTTCCTTTCTCTCTTTCGTTCTCCCATTTTCTATTTCTATCTCTCTATCTCTATTTCTATCTCTACCTCTCTTCCTCTTCTGCCACTCTATCTCCTTCCTTGCATCAAGCTCTATACATAGAGGATAACCTCAACCTTGCAGGACTACTGCCTCAGTTGCCGGATTCTTGTAATTTCTTGTATCTGTTTTAAAATGCCCAGCTTAAGGCCACCATGACTGGCTTCTATCTTTAAGGTTACTATCTAAATATTATCTTTTCATTTTGTAAGAATTTTAGAGCTTTTGATATTGAAATAACTCTGTATTTAAAAAACCATCCAAACTACTATAATGAATAAACTAAAAATGCATTGCCTTATTTATCTAAATTCAATTGTCTAATGGAAGATAATGATTGGATTATCATTTAATCATTTACGTATATAAAAGTTCTAGATACTATTAACAGTGTATCTCACATTGATTTTAAACTTTAAGAACATAACGTTTGTTCACACACATGCCTGTGTACATATCTGTGTGTTTATGAAAATGTTCACGTTGATTCAAGCTATATCTGTAACTACAGTTACAGGAGGTTGTGAGCCTCAAAATAAACGTGTTGGTTACTCAACACATGTCATTTGCAAGGCTTGTTAGTAGTCATAACACTAAAACAAATTTATAGTCCATGTGTCCAATTTTGAAATATTTTTAGTTATGTGTGGTTAATATAAAGTCAGGAGATGTTGTCAATATTTTCATTCCCTTGTGTTTGTGGCATGAGTCCAATAATCAGAGATACTCTATGAAATTCTGATCTGGGGCCATATGTGACTTTTATTTTGCATTTGATGGAAGTCACATATGAAAAATTTAAATCATGCCTATTGAAAGATTATTCTAGGGCCAAAGTTATCCTTCTAACTGCTTATTCTTTCCTGTATGAGTCCAAAACTGTCCAAAAATATAAATTATGGGATTTTGAGATTTTACATATCGTTTTGCATTTTTAAAAATGCTAGTTCCTAAAATCATACAGTTTTTATACTAGTGCCTTCTAATTTATCAACTGTCTAACACTTAATTGCTTGAACTCATAATGTAGTAAATTAAATCCCTATGTCATCTTACACTGACAATGAAAGGAAGCCAAGAGAGGAGTGATAATTCTCCCATATAAATTAATTTCATTTCCATTCAACCTAAGACAAGGAGGAATTTTTATCCTCTAATTGCTACTCCATATGGAATGGAAAAAAAATTAAGGTGGGTGTTACCAAATACTCCCCTAGGCATGAGAATCTCATTTACGCATTTGTAGACTGACTAATTTATAGAACAAGAGTATCCAGGGAATGATTTAAGATAACGAGTGGCAAAGTGTCCCTCTAGGTAGCTTAATGAGATGATTTGCTGAGTAGGACTATTACTAATATGCCAATTAAACACTGAGAACAGGTTCTTTTAAAAATTATCATGATCCTGAGTAAAGCTTTTATCAACCAATTCTTTTTTTTGCAAGAAATAATAAGACCATATGACAGTTAAGGCAGCTGTTCCTTAGTGATGTGCATCCTAATGTCAACATGTAGGGAATTACTGCCTATGCTCCACCTAAAGAACAGTGTTTTGTATTCATAAAGAAGCTTCTTAATGCCCTCATCCTTGACAAGAAGTAACCATATCTTTGTTAAGACTGTCGCCAACACAATCTTACTAAAAAAATAATTACAAAATGAGACATAGAAGTCAGGTCAATACAAGACATAAGGAAAATAAATTACCCAAATATTTCTTACTTTCTATTACTCATAACTATTTACCATTAGAAAAATTTCAAATTATTCCTAAATTACTGTCTTTAAATGTATTTCAATATACATGCTAATAAATTTTGGAGAGCTAATATGTTTAAATTTGCATCATCATATAACTAGAAAATAGGTTTTCTTAATAATCAAAGCTCAGCTTTCTTTATTCACTAACAAGACTCTTTAATAAAGTATGTTTATCTGTTCCATTTAGGAATTATTTTACATATCTAGATTTCAGGTAGTTTTAAAATGTCAATTAACACTTGAAAATGTGTGTCCTAACCAGTGTTGCTTGTCCAAATTGATTTTAACCAACTGATTTTCTTCGTTTTTTTCTCTAGTTAGGAGAGACTCAGAATACCAACGTTAAGAAATAGTTATGATCATATTGCAATCATCAATTTAACAGAAATTGGTGGAAAACTGTCAGACGAATGAAAAATATAATTAAATTATACATAGTTACATTAATACTACATACTTAAAATAATTTCTTACATTTTCATATCTATCTTTTAGATTAATAGCTTTTTCTTTATTCTCCAAATAACTTAATTTGATCTCACAGTGTTTTTATTACAAAAGTTAACCCCCATGGATTATTCATAGAGAATTTGAATCCTCTTTTTAATATTCTAGATAATTTCTAAAACATCCTATTCTGTCTTGTCAATGGGTGAGTGAACAAACAAAAGCACTAAAACAGAGTAATGTGTGTTTCAGGGTTCAGGAGCTACATGTAATTATTCTCTTTAAGAATGTCTACAATCTTGTCTTTACCTGGTGAAATTAAAATTAAATGCATATTTGAAGCTGGGACATAAAAACTATATGGTCTCAGTTATATTGTTCTCATACACAGCACAGTTGAAAGTTTAACTAAAAGATGAAATATAGTGAATATTTTAGGGATAATAGGTACTTAAGAGATTCAAAATATTGGCTCTTCCCATAGGTTCACAAAACTGGAGGCAGAGAAAGATCCCTGTGCTGTGCTTGCAGACAACTTTGTTGTAGAAAGAGCAAATCCTTGGAGGGCAGATTGACCTCTAATAAGAGCAAATGTTCTTTAGACTGAGGCTGCACTCTGCAGAGGATATTGTCTTATAAGAAATACATAGGTCCGCTAAGGCTATGATAGATACTACATTTATGAAAGATAATCTTTACCTTGAAAGGTAAAGATACTCATATCAGGAACCCTAATATTGACTTAAGCTCCCTAAACTTCTTTGTATGCTACTTATGTGAGGACTAGACTAAGTCTCCTGTTTATGATTTTTAGCATTTCTGGTCTCCATGTGTGTGACAGACTGTATCTTCTTGGAAATTCTTGAGCCCAGGTATTTGTATTAAAACTATCTTTACTTTAAGGAGTTTCTGAAATCTCTCAACTACTTTTTCCCCATAGCAGTGATACAACTCAAAACTCGTTGCAAGACATGACAGTAGAAATAGACTACAAGGAAAGAGGAACCTGACCTATGGAAGGAAAAAGCAACACAGGGTAATTCAGATGGGAACGATCAAGTACATTATATGCATTTCTGAACATTTCACAGCAGCACTAATTAAATAAATGTCTAATCTAAGCTAATACCATGTGAAACTGCAATACCTTCAGTATGGGATTCAGGAGGACTGAGAAGCAAGCAGATGGTAAGTGTATTTTCAAAAATGTACAGATGATCTAGTTCCTCAGAAAGAATTATGCTGATGCAATTTCAGAATATCAAAGCTGTTGTTGTTGAAACAACACAATTCAGGGCTTGGCACAATCTCCAGAGGCATATTTTACTTGGCTCTTAATGCTTTCATATTTCATATATATATAATGTTGATTTTTTTTTTACTCTGTGTCTTCTACTATATGATTCTGTGCTCCAACAGGTAACCTAAATTCCCTACTTTCCATTGGTCATTCAAAGATTATTTAGAAAGTACACTTTATGTTTGGTTAACTATAAATGGAAAATAATTAAAGAATGAGCAAAATCCATCTAAAAATGCACATGGACTCCAAACAATTGTTTTACCAAACTTGTAATATGGGTCTAGAATTATATGTCTAAAATAGTGCTGCCAGGACAAGTGAGTGAGACCAATAATACAAGAATTGATTAGTGATCAGGTGTAGTGCACTTGAATTAACTTTTGAATTACATTGAATATAAATTTGAATTAAAAGTCATTTCCATTATGGAGCTAAAGACAAATCCTCTGAGAGTTTGGAAGTGGCGAGCTGGAAATTGGGTCTGACTAATGACAAAGTAACAAGAATGTGAGATACTGGATAAATGCTACCAATTTTGTTGTTGTTTTATTTATTGAGGAAATTATTTATCCTGATGTCATCCAGGTCATCCTATGATGTGAGAAATTCTCACCTTATTTTCAATGAAAATAGTGAGATTAGTGCTGTATGTCACCATGACCAACTCAAAAGTTCTCTTTTATTGGGAAGCTTAATATAGTCATTGGTCTAATAGGCAGCAACAGGAAGGATCTGTGACATTATCTTGACAGGAGGAAGAAAATGCATAATAAATGAAAATAGACAAATTTTAAAGATAAATCTTATGTATTTAGTTTATAATTGCAATTTTCTTTATTTTTGAAATTTCATATATGTACAAAATGATATACGGTTATAACCAACTC